TGCTCCCCCTGCCACAGGCCCTTGGTTTCCTGAATGCAAGGCACAATGTGTCAGTCCCAGTATGCTGCTGCATTTTTATGAGACTTTGCCAGTATCCCCCATTCACATCACCTCCTACATGTAAAGCTCACCCACTGTGTGAAACTGGGGCATCATCTTGATTACAGACACCACGCTCTGAACATCTACATGCACCTCATCTTCTGACCGCAAAACTTACCCATCCATCAGAACTTCAGCATCATCTTTATTACATGCTGCCACTTGCACCTTGCCTCCTGCATGCAAAATATACCCAGGCTGCAAAGCCATAACAGCATCTTCCTTGCACTACTTCCCAATCACAAACATGCAGCCTCCCTTCCTTCCTTAGGCCCAGGATGCCTGTCCACACAGTTCTTCCTACACCCACCCCTGCATGTTGCCTTTTAAAAGATAGGCACAAGGCTTCTATGAGACTTTAATAAATCCCTTCCCCAGTCTGGCACAACTACCCGTGCACCTGCACGCCCCCCCACTGCATCTAGAATTAATACATCAGTCCATTCTGGCAGTGTCTTTGTTCTTACCCTCTTATCCCTGATGCCTCTAAAACATCCATGCACGCTAGACTTCTTGCTTGTGAAATTTGTCCATCCATCCCAGCTGCTGCAACTGTAGGGGGAAGTCATTGTCACATGTTGGGAGTGATGGGGTAAATGCACTCTTGTAGCTTTTACACTGATTGGAATGATGCTCGAAAGAGTTATCAATGTCTCTGAACTCTAATCTTGGGGTGTTGGTCTGAGGCTTCTGTGGTCTGACAGCACCCCTTCTTGCTCATTAATGTGTAGTTTTCCTTTTTCGTGAAAACACTGGTGTTGAGATGGAAATGGTGTGGTAAATGCCTCCTTCACATAATGCTTCTGAATACAGGGTTAGGCAGCTGATTTTGCTCAATAGCTCCTTCACATAGATGCGTTACGCTGCAGGTGCATGAAGGCATTTGTGTCTGTGATGTGTGCGTCTGGGGCCAAGGGAGGCCAAGTCTCTGTGATGTACATGTTGGGTATACACAGCATTCATTGTGTTGGCACTGCTGTATGTGCAGTGTCTCGGAGGAAGCCTGGGTTGGGGCGATGCCAGAAGCCAGAGTACCTTCCCCACCTATGCCTTAACACTCAAAAGCTTTTTCTGTAGGCTGATTCCCCACCACACAAGATCTTGAGTGCAGGGCCCAGGCACAGACACTGGAAGGAGGGGACTGTGTGCTGTGCATCTCTGTCCAATGCTGCTGCCTGCTGCAGAGAGGCCTGATGGGGTTGCCATGGCAACTTGCAGCAGCACCATCCGCCAGTGCTAGCTGGGCCGACAACCACGGACACGCGCGCATGCATTATACCAACACTTGGTGTAACTCCATTGGCTTCAGGGGAGTTGCAGTGTGGGTAGACTGAGTCTGACACACTGTTAGCAAACATCCAGGCACCTTCTTCTTCCCCTTCCAACCCCCCTCTAAGCACTTGCTGACAGGCAGGCACACCAGGAGCCAGCAGTTTATTTTGGCTGTGTGCACGTGGACAGAGCATCTTGAAACTGAATCCTGTTTAATGCATATTCCCAGTCTTTGCAGGTGGCGTGAAATCTTCAGAGCTGGGGGCCAGATGGGGATGTCACCATTCTGCCTTACTCGTGTATTTATTTATTGTAGGGCCTAAGGACTCCAGGCAGCTCACAGGGACCCACACCGCTAGGCACTGTGCAGGCAAGGTCCCTCAAAATCACTCTGCTAGAGAATGCACTGCTGGCTGGTTTGACACTGTGTCTGGGGAATGCACAAATGGGCCCAGCCTGGGGTAGATGTGATGACAACAGAGATAGGTTTGTTTGCTTGTGTCTGTAGTCACAACGGTCTCACTTGCTACAGGCGGCCTAGTGATGGGAGACCAGATCCTGGTGAATTCTCAAACAGAAGAAGGTTTCAAGGAAGGATTGAAAAGAGAGGAAGGAGGCAGCCTTGTGAATTGTGATCAACAGGAAGGGTTTGCCTTGATGTGGCGAGAGAGATGAGAGAAAACGCAGGGGTGCTTGCGGGCAGATGAGGCTGGTGGTGCAGGTCAAGTGATGATGTGGGCAAGGGAACATCTCCATAAGAAATTAGGCATTAGAGCTTCAGGTGGGGTGAGCTGGGGTTGAAGTCAATGGGGCGCTGTGCATTTTTACTACATGAGGACCTGGCCTTAGATTTGACACCTGGAGGGAAGAAATTGTTTCACAGCCCAGAAAGTAGAGACAAGAAGCATTTTTTTTCAATGTAGTTCTGCTCTATCAAGCTTGAGGGAGAGCAGTGGTTGGAAGCAGGAGATTATCCGGGCATTACTTATGCTCCTACATCAGGTTGGCCTGTCCAGGCCCAGGCTGCTTTGCCATGAACAGGGCTTTAGACTGCCAGCTCTGTGTGTGCTGCTTTCTGTGGACAATGTTGAGTACACGAATGGTGCTCAGTACTAAATAGCCCCACATCAGTATTATTGTTTATTGATATGACATAGTTGGCTTTGTTCAGATGATCCCCCTGTCCGTCTGCCAGGGTTTGTGTACTGTGCGTCATCACTTCTAGTCTTCCCTGTGCATGTGGAGCATCGCTGATGGTCAAATCCTGCTCTGTACACTCTGGCCAACTCTTTGCTGTGCCTTGTGTGTACTTTGCCTTGCCTTTTCATTCAGCCCTTGGCCGGTCAGCTCCTAAGAAGCCTGAGGAAGGGGGCTGAGATTAGAACTGGTCTGACATTTCCTAGCCAAGTGTTTCATTTTAATGGAAAATGATTTTTTTTGGATTAAACAGAAGTTTTTTGTAAAAATGTCATTTTTTGTGGAAAGTATTCAAGCTTTAGTTAAAAAAAAAAAACAACCTTTGAAACTCAAAATGTTTCAATGCTTGGCCCCCAGAAGTTAAGATGTTCCTAAGTTTTGAGTTTTTAATGAAAATGTGATATTCTGTACAGGGAGAAACAATCCCTTCTTTGCTACCAAGCGACTTGTGCCCTATCTCACCATAGCTAGCTGTTACCACTGTTAAGGGAGGGAAGGCAGGGTACTGAGGGAGGGTCTTGGATAAAAATGCTGCTTTGTTCCTTTGAGGAGAATGCCATTGGAAATGACTCCTCTGGCCAGCCCATATGTTTTTCCCGGTTACAGTGCGGTTACGGATGTAGAAGCTATTGGGCTTTGAAGTGGGTATACTCCATCAGTTCCCTGTCTTCCCTTCTGGCCAGCTCTGCATGGCCTCAGGAAGAGCTGTTCTGAGTAGGGGTTGAAGGATGCAGAGTTGCTTGGTAAAGGTGACTCACTCCTTGCAAAGCCTAGAAACCTTCCCACTGCTACCAAAAGAGGACAGATGTCAAAGAGAAGAGGTGATAAAATACTGACTAGGTGTGGGAAGAAGAACTGAGGCTAGGTGGAGATGAGCTAGATTTGGGAGAGGAAGAGACTGGGGGTATGAGAAACAGAGAGGAGGAGCATGATGGCATGTCCGGGAGGCTTGAATCAAATCTACCTACCTGCTAGGCAAAGTGGGAATCCTCCTCTGAGGCCTGACGTTAAAGCACCGATCTGACCTCTTTGGCAGGGGAGGAAAGCAGCCGGCTTTTCTGCTCTCCCTGTTCCTTTGGTTCAGTCCAATCAGCTGGTTGGGAAGGGATCCCAGGAGGTCATCTAGTCCAGCCCCCTGCTCAAGGTAGGCAAGCTTGCTGCTCTACCTGGGGGTCTACCTGTCTGAGAGGCTGCAGGCATTGGCAGGGCTGCTCCAGTGCCTTTCCTTTTGTGGGAGGGTGCTGGTCATCAACCAGCTCATCCTGTCTATTATCTGGCACCACTTCTACATCCTGCCTGTGGCCCTGGAGCTCCTGGCCAGTTTCCAGAGATGGGCACTGGGGTTCTTTTGGCTAGGACAGCACTAGGTCTCTGCAGGGGTCCTGAGCCTCCCCTTGCATGAGGGGGGCAGAGCCTTGGCCAGGTCCATACCTTCAAGCTCTGCAGAGGCTCCTTTATGTTGCTGGTAGCCAGGTGGTGTAGTGCCTTCCTCTGCCACCTTCAAGGGTTCTGATCTGACTGGCAGCTCTTCTACCTGAGGGGCCTCCCCATATTAAGATCTGTTCAGGGCCCGGAGGCTGTTGTCTGCCTTCAGGTCCCCAGACAGTTGTTCAGGGTGCAGACCTCCTAGTCAAGACCCTACTGAAAAAACCCGCAGCTGGTGGTGCTGGTGACGGAGGCATCCTGGGTGTGCCAGAGGATGGTACTGGTTAACATCATCTGTATCCAGGACCTCCTGGACTATGCCAGGCAGGGGTAAATAGACCTTTTT